CTCCAACAGATTGGAGCAAGTAGGGAGGATCTCCTTGTTTCACATTTCTGGGACATCAGAAGAGCTGAAGCTAGAAGGCACTGCTTCTCCACACAGCATCGACCTAAAGAATGAGCACCCTGCCGAGACCTTCCCAGCCCCTCCCAGATGGTTGTTTTAATTGTTAAAAACAGAGGTTTTTTGAAGAGTCTTTCAGTAGCATCACCTCACCTTTGGTTGTTCTTTCTATATTTCTCTCCTGCTTCGGCTTTTTTTTTTGTAATTTGGATTGCTATAATTTGGTTGTTATTTCTATTGTGACATTGAACAAGATTGCAGCAGGATGGATTCATTAATTCATTAATTAAATAATTAGGTTTGTTGTTTGTCAGGCAGTCTATTCAAGAGGAAAGTGCAGCAATTTTAGGGGAGAAAAAAAGAATGCCTCCGGAGAAGGAAATTACTCGGATCCGTGCAGTGTCAGGGGATAGTCTTCCATATGCGAATGTAGCTGATCATTATTATTTTTAAATATCCTTACTAGGTAGGCCCCAAAACCTGTTTGGATCTGCAGCTCCCAGCACACCTGACACACCCCATAAGACTGGTTTTACCTGCTGCCAGATCAGAAAAGGGCTTCAGGAAGCTTGAGTATGTCTGTTCCTTTCCTGAAGGAGTTAGGACCAGGCTGTGCAACTCCCAGTTCCATGTTTTCCTACAACCGCACAACTTTACGGCTTAAAGAACTCCAAGATCCCAAGAGGTAGGACAATCTGAGCATGGAATTCAGAGCATAATAGACTTTAACTGGGGGGCTAAAAGTTGGAATGAAGAAACAGGACATCTCAGGTTCAATTTTTACCATAGATTAGTCACTTATTGAGGGAGGGGGGACATTTTGTCCAACCAAGAATGAATTCATTTTAACCTATTATTTTAAACTGAACTTTTTAGACATTTGCCTTAAAATAAGATGCCTTGAAAAAATGTCTGTTTTGAAAAATGATACCTAAATCCACAAATAATTAAACAGGGATGTTGTAAAGGGAAATATAAGGATAAAATTATTGCAATAAAAGAAACCTAGATTCAGGAGAGGGAGGAAGTGTTCTCTCCCCCCGCCAAATGATGTTTAATTATAGACTTCAATGTTGAATGAATAGTCTAACAACAGGCTTACTAATTTTTTTAAAAAATTAAAAGATTTGGACTCATTAGATAGGGATCAGTCTTCCAAAAATATTAATAATAACTAAATTAAGCCCTCACATTTAGATATAATTTAGCTCTGAGTCAATAAAGGGTGAAGAGAGATTATAGTCTTCTCTTCTGAGTTTCCTAAAGGCATCTCAGAAATCCATCACCAGAACTGCCTTCGTATGAATGTCTATGGAAAGATAGAAGTTTGGGGAATGTGAGCCTTTCAAAACATCCATGAATCAGTATACCTGAAAAGGAATAGGTAAATTGAAATTGAAATTTGTTGCAGTACTTCTGTTTTATTTCAAGTGGTAGAGGTAGCAGTGAAATACTATCTCTATCTCTATCTATCTATCTATCTATCTATCTATCTATCTATCTATCTATCT